CTAAATTGAAATGAAACAACACAGATCTCCGGGTTTTGGTGATAACAGTAACCAGGAGGGAGAAAGGAGTGGGTGGATAGGCAGGGAAAAGTGCTTCTTAGCTTCAGAATCCATTCTCTGTCCTGTAGGAAGTGCTTCTGTTTCCTGCCATGAAACCTGAAGACAAGAAGGAGAATGTAGCCACCACGGATGGCCCGGAAAGCACAGCACCCGGCACTTCTGTCTAGAAAACAGTAATGACGAGTCATGTGACGACTGGTTGCATTTCTGTAACCAGGGACTGCGAGGGAATTCCTGTGTGTGTTGCTGTCTGTTTGACTATCACATTTCACTTCAGCCGCCAAAACGAGAAGAGGAATCAAGAATTCCTTTTTACTCCTTGTTATCAAATAAACCATTTGTCTCTACTCTTGTCTCATCGCTCTTTTTACTTTTGAAATGTCATCTTATTTCCCAGACAGCTGACCTAATGAATGTTTAGGATTATACCACTTTACTCATTCAACAAATTTCTCTAGGTGACATCGAAGTAGAGATCTAGAAACAGAGATCTGAGTGGAAAAGCATAGTCCAGACCAGAGGGCTGCATTTTTGAGGAACTCCAGAGGGGTCTGGTATGACCAGTAAGGAGCAAGTAAAGCTCAGTGAGGGGCCAAACCATGCAGGCACCTGTAAGCCATGCAGAGGAGTCTGTGTTTTATCATGGTGAGATGAGAAGCCATTGGACAGTTATGAGCAGTGTTTTTCAAAGACTGTTCTAGTTAGTATGTGGATGGCAAGAGTGGAAGAGAGTTAACTTTGCATTTGCAGGCTGAGGAGACATGATGGCTTAGCTTTGGATGGTGTAAAATGACGGTGATGGTTATGAGTCATTGGAGTTTGCTTGTGTTCCTGAGGTCAGAAACTTGGCAAAGTGAGCTGTGAGAAGAGGAATCATAATTTCAAGGTTTTAGGCCTAACCACCTGGAAAGCAGAGTTGTCATTGACTTGAGATGGAAAAAATGTGAAGGGCAGGTTTGAGGAAGGAAGGTTGAGTGTGGTTTTGGACATATTAAACATGTTTGTTAGATGTTGGGTGAAAAGAGTGAGTAGGATGTTGAATAGTGAATCTGGTGTGTTCATATTTTCAATTCAGTGAAAAAGAACTGGAGCTGGGCAGAAAAATGTAAAAAAAAGTCCAAGATTAGCACAGCAATCCAAGAGGAAGACAACAGCAGTTTGTCCAAATGACTAGGGTTTTGCCATAAAAGTAGAACTGGGTGAATTCAAGGGAGAGATCAACAGGATTTGGTAACAGATTATATATTGGATTATAATACGGGGGTGAAGGGAAAGAAAATGACAAGGTGATTCACTTTTCAATTTATGCAACTAGATGAACGGCAGTACTAATACTTGAGATATACCTGGAAGATGATTACCCCATGAGAAATCTTTAAAAAAAACAAAAAAAAGAGTCACAGATAACACACGTTAGAGAGAGGAACAGGATACTTACCTTTGGAGGAGTAAGGAATTTACCCTTCCTCTGATCTAGAAAGAAAGATGGGGATCAATTAAGCTGCACTTCTCTAGCTTTGGAGGGATAATATGAAAAGTAAGTTCTCTCTCATCTTTAGGAATTGAGGTATACAACTGCCAAATGGTACAGACTCCTGAACTACAATCTGAAGGTTTTAGACCTGAACTGTTAATAAATAAGCCAAGAGCCACATGTGGCTATTGCACATTTGAAATGTGGCTGGTGAGAACTGAGATGTACTGTGAGTGTAATATACAAACCAGACTTCTGAAACTTAGTTAGAAAAAATATAAAATACCTCAATATCTTTTTTAAAAAATTGATTACACGTTGAAATATGTTGTATATGTTCGGTTAAATCAGTTTAAGTTCATCTTTTGAGTTTTAAAATGTATAAAGTTTTAAGTTACATATCTGGCTCGAATTATATTTCTACTGGATAGCAGTGTTTTAAACAAAAATTTACCCTAGTGTCCCAAGATACAACATCATTCTACTCTTGGAATCTATTCTCTCGCACACCATCAGCTTCCCGAGCCCCTTTGACCGATACGCACAGCGCCGGAAGTCGGGTCTGACCCTCCCACCTGGCTCCGCCCCCTAAGCGACTACCAAGGTCAGCGTGCAGTGTGTGTCGCCTCTTGATGACGTCACGTCCGCTGCGCAGCACACGCTTTGTCAGCTCCTTTCGGCGTGCGTCGTAGAGATGGGAGGGGAGGGTCTCTGAGAGGGTGGGGTCGCGGAGCCGAGGGCGAGCGAGTGAGCGAGGTCTTCGCGGCTTCTGGGTCAGGTTCCAGTGTCTGGCTTTTCCAAACTCCGTTTGTGTGGGGAGAAAACGTGAGATCAGTACCTCTCCCACCACGCGTGGGGCGGTAAAAGACTTCTCCTTTAATGGAAATACTGCCCTCCCGGCGCGGAGAACCCCCGCTGCGGGCGAGCGCGGGACGCGTGGCCGTGCTGCAGCGTCCTACAAAACCCAAGAGGGCAGGCACCGACCTAGTCCCGGCTGCAGGGGCCCCGAGTCTCCTGTTGACTGGGCACATTGGCCCTACCCGGACCTCTTGAGGGTGTTGAGCCGGGGGCTGAGGGAAGTAGGCTTCCCTTCCAACCCTTCGAAAAGGGCTTTTCGCCCCTGGCCCTAACTTTCTTTGAAAAGGAAGTGGGCTCTTCAGCTTTTTGCAACTGTTAAAACATGGCGATCTTATGGGCAAAGAACTGTCTAACAACTGATCTTTTGTTTCATATAAAAAATTATTCACGTTCTAGGAGAGAGTGGATTTGAATTTTAGTGGACTCAGTGTAGCAAAACTTTTATTCAGCTACTGGGCACGCTCATCCCGACAGCTCCGAGAATGTGACGATACAGTTCTGGGCTGCTGCTTCATAGCGCTTCTTCTGGCAAGTTCTGTCTTCCTTGGCTATTATGGTTTGTGTACCTGTGATTTAATTTCAGGTGGGTACCAGAGTATCTGCCTTCATAAAGTATACTGCCTTCTGATGCTCCCCACCCCCTCGTAATGAGAGGGAAATCTCTTCCAAATGGAGGATTCAAGGCTTACCCATGCTTTTCTTTTGCTCCAAGAGATAGAGGATTTATACTGCGAGAGCTCCCTGGCGGTCTAGAGGTTAAGATCCGCTTTTTTCCTGTAATGGTCCAGTTTCAATCCCTACTTAGGAAACTTGTGGTTGTGGTTTAGTAACTAAGTCGTGTCCGAATCCCTGCGACCCCATGGACTGTAGATCTCCAGGCTCCTCTGTCCGTGGGATTTTCCAAGCAAGAATACTGGAGTCGGTTTGAGCTAAGACCCCGCAAACCAGCCTGTGGGGCAAAGAAAAAAGAAGCTTAGGCTTGTTCTCTGACTTATAAATCACAATTTATGTCAGTTCCAGTCAGATTCTTAATTTAAATCACTATGATCTGATGTACTATGGCCATTTATTAAAATAACAACCCACACATCAGGACAGTTAAATGATAAACTGAAGCATATTAGAATTTTTAAAAGTTTGATCAAAAACCAATTCCAATCGGGCAGCACCAAAGCAGTAGTTAGGAGCCCTCTGCAGCAGGAGGCAGGGTAGACTGTTGTAGAAAAAGTGCAGAAACAAAATAAGAAATCATTTAATTGGCTGCAGCTGGAAGCCTAGCTGAGGGCTGTTGGTTGTTTGTCCTTAGCAGTTTTGATATTGTAACCTTAAGGCATTTACACACTTAGATCTTGGTTTGCTTAAATAGGCCAACGCAGCATTACAGGTTCATCCATCTAATCGTCTCCTTGTTTTATTAATTTAACAGTGCAAACAGCTTATTGTGGAAAAATCAGTTGTCTGCTATATGCCTTGAGGCTCAATGGAGCCTTTTTTTTTGTTTGGTGACACATTTGGCTTTGCCCATCACCTTATGATCTTATTTTTTCCTAAGAAGCTTTTCATACATTTCAGTGACCAAATGAGGTCAGTGAGTGAGCACTGATAGAATCAACAATGAGAAGAGTGTCAAGGGAAGTATTCTAGGCCTCTTTTAGGTCTGCTTCATGGTCTCTTATTCATGGCTTTACGTATCCATCACAGATCCACTATCTGCCAAGGAGCTCAAGGCAAATGAATAAGGAAATTCAAATGTTCTTATTTGTAGTATCAATCTCAATTGATGTAATTATAATTATGCTCAACACTGTGCCAACTTTTTGTGACTATTAAGCCTCACAGCAACTCCAGTGGATTAAATACTATTGTCTCTTTTATCAGATGACACAGAAAGGTTAAGTAATCTACCCTGTATCTCATAGTTAATTTGTAGCAAAGCCAGGATTAGAATCCAGAAAGGGTAACTCCAAAGCCCTCATTCTGAGAAGCAGAACTGCTGTTTCACTTGAGTGGTGAGAAACACTGGGCTCTGTCACTGCCCTCAGCATCATAAAAGGTTGAGGAAGAGATTAAAATGTTGCTTTCCTGATGGGGGCGGAGGTTTACTAGAGAGAAGATAAAGAACCTCTTTGCTGTGAGGAAAAGAAAAGTAAAATGTCTGGGGAAAAAAAGAAAACCTTTATCCCCAGAAAGATGAAGTTTGTCTGGTGTGGGTCTGTCTGAAGCAAGCTGAGGTCTGCAGCCCTTTATGTGCTATTTCCAAATGAAAAGTGGAATACCGACGATCTTGCCTCATATGCTTTCATTTTGAGTATTGGGCTCGGATTCATTAGAAACATGTCATATATCCAACATGAGGAAAAAAACAGCTTGAAGAAGTAATGTATCTTCTGGGGCTGTGAGATTTGAGGCTGTTGATCTTTCATTAATGATGAAAGCAGAGGGGTAGTCAGAGAAGATGATACACAGAGTTACAAACGGGGAAGCCTCACTAGGAACATGAAGGGGCTACATGTGAACGCCTGCTGCAGCGGGGTGTGGATTGTAGCATCTTGCCTTTGCTCTCCTTTCTGTCCTGACAGGTGTGGATTTTGATCAGGGCCTGAGCACCATGTGGACCGCGGATGAGATTGCCCGGCTGTGTTACGAGCACTATGGGAGCAGGCTGCCCAAGCAAGGGAAGCCTGAGCCCAACCGCGAGTGGACGTTGCTCGCAGCCGTGGTGAAGATACAACCCACAGCTGGCCAGGCCTGCGACCGCTCTGACAGACCAGTGCAAGGTCAGACCTTGTCTCCCTGAAACACTCTCCCAGTAAGAGACACAGGGCTAGCCAGGGATGGTGGTGGTTGGGTATGATCCGAGATGCTGGGCACGTTCTGCTGCTGCTGGCCGGGTGCTGCAGGACCTCTGGTGGCGGGAGGTGGCTGTGCAGAAACCACAGTCGTCAGCTGAGGCAGCCTGTGAGGGAGCCCTCTGGGCGAATGTGCAGGGAGGGTATTAAACTTGCCGACCATTCAGATTCTGAGAATTCATTTTATGATTTGCTTTTTCTTCCCCCTCAGTGACAAAGGAAGTTGTCTCAATGGGAACAGGAACCAAATGCATAGGCCAGTCCAAAATGAGGAAGAGCGGTAAGCCTGGGTGGGGTCTAAACACGGGCTATTAGGGAGTTTTAGAAAACTGGTGTCAGTGTCACCTGTTTCTCTTCCCGGCAGAGCACAGGTGCGTATCACTAGGTGGCTGACCTTTCACTTCCTGCTAACTGTGGCTCCAGTTGGAAGGACAGAGCTCATTTAAAGAATGGAAATGAGTTTCAGAAGCAAAGGCTGCCAGGAACATCTTTCTGAGTGGATTGAAAGTTGGCCAGTTACTTTCATGCTCAAACCAAAAGGTCCCTGAGTTTAGCTTTCCATAGTACATCTGAAGCCCCAGAAAGCAATCGTGAATCAAATGGAGATTTTGGCACAAGAAAGAGTAAGAAAATCCCTTAGAGGTCTGGCATCTTCACTTTCTGGATGCCAGTTAACAGATTCCTCCTCCAGTTTGCTTCCCTCATCTCCTAGTTTTCCCTGGGATATGAGGTTGCTGTTCCAGGACCACTATTGATTGAATTCAATGCAAGTGTATCACCATGGGCACAAGTATGGCACCAGGGTACAAAAGATCTGGACCTCTGTCCTCCTGATAAAGATCTCCCTGTAAATCAGGAGTTCTCAGCTAGGGGAGATTTGCCCTCCAGAGACATTTGGCAATATCTGGAGACATTTTTGACTGTCAAAACTGGGAGAAGGGGAATATGCTAGTGGTCTCTAGTGAATGGAGTCCAGGAATGCTGCCAAACATCCTGCAGTGCACAGAGCAGACACCCCCCCCCCCACACACACACACACACAGCATTTTCCAACCCGAAATGTCAGGAGTTGAGGAAACCCTGCTGTAAATGCTGTGCCAGTAATGATTGTACTGCTTTCTGACAAAGCCCTCCAGGAGTTATGTGACCAGTCTGGGTGCTGGGGAAAACTGCCATGTTCTGCTTTCAGGAACCAGGTTCCATATGTTTTCACTAGTGTCTTATCTTTGCCACAGGTGACATCCTCAATGATAGCCATGCTGAGGTCATAGCCAGAAGGAGCTTCCAAAGGTAAAGCCACATCGCCAGAGAGCTTGATCTAGCATGGGTGGGGGTCCCAGAATTTGCATTTCTAATAAGTCCCCAGTTCAGTTCAGTTCAGTCGCTCAGTCGTGTCCGACTCTTTGCGACCCCATGAAGCGCAGCACGCCAGGCCTCCCTGTCCATCACCAACTCCCAGAGTTTACTCAAACTCATGGCCATCGAGTCAGTGATGCCATCCAGCTATCTCATCCTCTGTCGTCCCCTTCTCCTGCCCCCAATCCCTCCCAGCATCAGGGTCTTTTCCAGTGAGTCAGCTCTTCACATGAGGTGGCCAAATTATTGGAGTTTCAGCTTCAGCATCAGTCCTTCCAATGAACACCCAGGACTGATCTCCTTTAGGATGGACTGGTTGGATCTCCTTGCAGGCCAAGGGATTCTCAAGAGTCTTCTCCAACACCACAGTTCAAAAGCAGCAATTTTTCGGTGCTCAGCTTTCTTCACAGTCCAACTCTCACATCCATACATGACCACTGGAAAACCATAGCCTTGACCAGACGGACCTTTGTTGGCAAAGTAATGTCTCTGCTTTTTAATAAGCTGTCTAGGTTGGTCATAACTTTCCTTCCAAGGAATAAGCATCTTTTAATTTCATGGCTGCAGTCACCATCTGCAGTGATTTTGGAGCCCAAAAAATAAAGTCTGGCACTGTTTCCACTGTCTCCCCATCTGTTTCCCATGAGGTGATGGGACCAGATGCCATGATCTTAGTTTTCTGAATGTTGAGCTTTAAGCCAACCTTTTCACTCTCCTCTTTCACTTTCATCAAAAGGCTTTTTAGTTCCTCTTCACTTTCTGCCATAAGGGCCCCAGGTAATATTAATTATGTCAGCCTCTGAACTGTACTTAAAATACAGTTGGTCTGGTCTAGACAGGGGTTCTTATGCTTGATTGTGCTTCCGAATCACCTGGAGGGTTTGTTAAACCTCAGATAGCTGGGCCCATCCCTAGGGGTTCTGATTCAGCAGATCCAGGTGGAGCTCAAAAAGTTGCGTTTCCATTTTTTTTAATGTTTATTTGCCGTCTCGGGTCTTAGCTGCAACCTGGGGCATCTGTGTTGTGTCATGCAGGATCTTTCCCACGTGGCACGTGGACTCCAGCTGCAGCACATGGGCTCCAGTAGTTGCGCCCTGGGGGCTTAGTTGCTCCACAGCACATGGAATCTTAGTTCCCCGACTAGGGATCGAACCCTAGTCCCTTGCATTGCAAGGCGGACTCTTAACCACTGGATCACCAGGGAAGTCCCAGAAGGTGCATTTCTAATAAATTCCAGCTGGTGCTGCTGGTTCCTGGACCCCATTTTGAGAATCACTAGATCCTTCTCATAATTCCAGGTCGCTACCAGTTTCATTGGTCTCCAGTATCTCTTTCCTTCTTAGTAATCACCCAACCAGAGTCTCTCCCTTGACCACAGAGATGGGTTGTTCGCTCTGGTAACCCCCCTCCCTCCATGTCCCATTAGGTACCTGCTCCATCAGCTCCACTTGGCAGCTGCCTTGAAGGAGGATAGCATCTTTCTCCCGGGATCTCAGAGAGGACTGTGGAAACTCAGACCAGACCTCCTGTTTGTGTTTTTCTCCAGCCATACACCCTGTAAGTATATTCAAGCCTCTGGATTCATGTTACATTCATCTTTACTTCCTTATTGTTGTCTTATCCATGTGTATGTTTCTCAAAAAAAAAAAAAAATTCTTTAGCGAACATGTAGTTACAGCCAGTGACAGTGTCTTTTTGTGAACAACCCAGTGTGCCTGATCACTTCTCCACCAAGGAAAGTGGAGGGAGCGTCACCCTACTATTATTCAGTTCTCAGTTCCCAGTCAGGGTGAGGAAGCTTAAAGGTCCAAAACCGGCAATAGGGCTTAGAAGTCCAAAGCCTGAGTTCTGTGGTGATTTATCCTGACATTCATTTCATTCATTCATTAAACACATCAGTTCAGTCGCTTAGTCATGTCCAACCCTTTGCGACCCCATGGACTGCAGCACGCCAGGCCTCCCTGTCCATCACCAACTCCCAGAGTGTACTCAAACTCATGTCCATCGAGTCAGTTATGCCATCCAACCATCTCATCCTCCATCGTCCCCTTCTCCTCCCACCTTCAGTCTTTCCCAGAATCAGGGTCTTTTCCAGTGAGTCAGTTCTTCTCATCAGGTGTCCAAAGTATTAGAGTTTCAGCTTCAGCACCAGTCCTTCCAATGAATATCCAGGATTGGCTTCCTTTACAATTGACTGGTTGGATCTCCCTGCAGTCCAAGGGACTCTGAAGAGCCTTCTCCAACAAACACGACAGTTGAAAAGCATCAATTCTGTGGCAATCAGCTTTCTTTATAGTCTAACTCTCACATCCATACATGACTACCATAGCTTTGACTGGACAGACCTTTGTTAGCAAAGTAATGTCTCTGCTTTTTAATATGCTATCTAGGTTGGCCATAACTTTTCTTCCAAGGAGCAAGCATCTTTTAATTTCATGGCTGCAGTCACCATCTGCAATGATTTTGGCCCAGAAAAATAAAGTCTCTGTTTCCATTGTTTACCCATCTATTTGCCATCAGGTGATGGGACCAGATGCCACGATCTTAGTTTTCTGAATGTTGAGTTTTAAGCCAACTTTTTCACTCTCCTCTTTCATTTTCATCAAGAGGCTCTTTAGTTCTTCTTCGCTTTCTGCCATAAGGGTGGTGTCATCTGTGTATCTGAGGTTATTGATATTTCTCCCTACAATCTTGATTCCAAGTTGTGCTTCATCCAGCCCAGCATTTCTCATGATGTACTCTGCATATAAGTTAAATAAGCAGAGTGACAATATACAGCCTTGACGTACTCCTTTCCCGATTTGGAACCAGTCTGTTGTTCCATATCCAGTTCTAACTGTTGCTTCTTGACCTGCATACAGATTTCTTAGGAGGCAGGTCAGGTGGTCTGGTATTCCCATCTTTTGAAGAATTTTCCACAGTTTATTGTGATCCACACACTCAAAGGCTTTGGCATAGTCAATAAAGCAGATGTTTTTCTGGAACTCTCTTGCTTTTTCGATGATCCAGCGGGTGTTGGCAATTTGATCTCTGGTTCCTCTGCCTTTTCTAAATCCAGCTTGAACATCTGGAAGTTCACGGTTCACATACTGTTGAAGCCTGGCATGAAGAATTTTGAACATTACTTTGCTAGCATGTGAGATGAGTGCAATTGTGCGGCAGTTTCAGCATTCTTTGGGATTGCCTTTCTCTGGGATTAGAATGAAAACTGACCTTTTCCAGTCCTGTGGCTACTGCTGCATTAAATTTGCTGGCATATTGAGTGCAGCACTTTAACAGCATCATCTTTTAGGATTTGAAATAGCTCAACTGAAATTCCATCACCTCCAATAGCCTTGTTCATAGTGATGCTTCCTAAGGCCCACTTGACCTCACACTCCAGGATGTCTGGCTCTAAGTGAGTGATCACACCATCGTGGTTATCTGCATCATGAAGATCTTTTTTGTGCAGTTCTTCTATGTATTCTTGCCACCTCTTCATTAAACACATATTTTCTACTATTTGTCAGGCAAGTGTGACATCAGTTATGTAGCAGTGAATAAGACTAGTCCCTCACTTAACCTTTCATTTTTCATGAGATATAGACAATCATGGTGAGTTAAGGTAGATTTTGATGAATTTAAGGGGATGTCCGGGTGCTGTAGTTGCATTAGGCAGGAAGACCAGACCTGGCCAATGGGGTCATTTCTATCCTTTGTTTTTCTGTCTTGAAAATTGAGAATAATTTCTACCCTTGTAGACAACTCAGGGATGATAGTAAAATTTCCTCACCCTCAAAATTTTGAAATAAGGATATAAGATTGTCCCATGAGTATTAAACTTTAAAACTAACACATGCTATTAGAGCAGATAGGTAATCACTCTTTAGAGACAGTAACTAAAGATCATAATTCAAATAAAAAATATAGCTTTATGAGAGAACAGAAAAATGACATACAGAGGGAGGCAGGGCTCATCCATACTCTATTCTTAGCAAGGCACCCAAGGACCAAAGGATGTTTCTTAGCTTAGTGTTTCTCAAACTGTAATATATATAACATGCACCCCAAGATCTTGTTAAACTGAACATTCAAATAGAGCAGCTCTGGAGTGGATCTGGAGGCCTGCATTTCTAACCAGCTCCCTGGTGATGCCAGTAGTATTGACCTGTGGATCACACTTTGAGCAGCCAGGGCCTGGTTGGTCCCAGTAGCAGGTGTAGCATTCTTGTGGAGAGATATATCTGGGGATTACAGCTAGCCTGACCACCTAATCAAATGATGAAAATCAGTGGTCCACAGGCTGGTACTGCTCTGTGAGAGAGCACCGCTCCGTGGTCACATGAGGAAACTCAGGACTGTTCAGAGAGTTTTTCAAAAAGCTAATTTCTTTCCATTTTAAGCTTATGAGATTTTTATGTATTTTTAAAACAATGATAAATAAGCTTTTTAAAGATCTTACTTGAGGTAATAAAAAGTTGACAACACTCTATTGATCTTAAAATCTTCTGGAGATTTTACTGGTCTGTGAAATCAAAATCTGGAACCGCTGATCTAACTCCCTGGGTGATGGGCAATATTTTACAGTGGGGTGTCCCCACTGGGGGAAGAGAGAACACTAGAGAATGTGACTGACTGACTGACTTGGCATTTATTCCTCATCACTGACTGTTAAGTTGGTGCCTGGGTTGGCTACTTCAGACTTTTACATTTGAGTTATGTTAGCATGAGTCAGACTTCTGAGTTCAGACATCAGTCAGGATCAAATCTCTGAGCCTTCGGAGTGGGATGTGGGCCCTGGGGAATTCTTCAAAGTTCCTGTCACCTTGTGAGGTGTCTGGAAGCCTGCCAGCCAGCCTTTCTGGCAACACTCCCATTTCTGCATCTCTTACCTCTCCCACTCCTAGATTATATAGACCACAGATTATATTATTTACACACTTTATAAAAGCAGTACACATTAGTGTTTGAAGAATCTCCCTTCTCTTGGGAAAGCTATGCTTTTTACTGACCTCTGGTTTTCTTTTGTTCCATGTAAACACAGAGTAAATAGGAAATCTCTAAAGCAGCACAGGGAAATACCAGTTATGCAAGTCTTTACTGAGAGCTTATGCAAGTCTTTACTGAGAGCATATGCAAGGTGGCAAAATTGTGAGCATTATTTGCCAAACTTATTTAACGATGAAATCAACCCTCCACTTCTATCTTCCAAGTCATCTTGGGGATAACACTCCACAAAATGCACGTGGGAAACCGTGCTCGTTCTAAACCAGGGGTCCCCAACTCAGGACAGTTTTGATCCCCAAGGGACACTTGGCAGCATTTGCAGACATTTTTGATGGTCAGACTCAGGGGTACTATCAGTATTTAGTATTTAGTAGGTAGAAACCAGAGAGACTGCTAAACATCTTGTAATATATAGAACAAGCCCCCATGGCAAAGAATTATCTGGCCCCAAATGTCCTTGTGGAGGTTGAGAAACCTTGGTCTAATCTAGTGTTTCCAAAATGTCCTGGGATCTTTGTTAAATGGTTCAATTTTTAAGACTCCTTCCACTGAGAGATTCTAGCTCACTGGATCTAGCTCACTGGGTCATCAGTGAGAACACCAGAGAATTATTATTAGGGAAATTTGGCCAAGTGTTCTTAATTCATCTCAGGTCAGCTGGAAGAAGAGTATTATTATTTAAGGCAGTCATTCTCAAACTCAAGGTTGTATCGGAATCACATAGAGAGCTTGTTAAAACAGACTGCTAGGTACCACCTCCAGAGTTTCTGATTCAACAGGTCTACAGTGGGTCCCAGGATTTGGCATTTCTAACAAGTTGCCAAGGGATGCTCATGCAGCTGGTTTGGGGGCCTCGATTTGGGAACCACTGGTTTAAGGGATTTCTTCTCCTGCAGGTGGGGACGCCTCCATCATTCCAATGCTTGAGTTTGAAGATCAGCCTTGCTGTCCTGTCAGTAGAGATTGGGCCAGTAACCCATCAGTAGAAACTAATGATAACCTAGAAGCTCCTGAAGATAAAAGGAAATGTGAAGACCCAGAGAGTCCTGTGACTAAAAAAATGAAGCTGGAGCCCAGGACTCCTGATGGCACAGCTCACCGTCAGAGTTTTGGCAGTGAGGAAAGGGGCCCAAATCCACCAAACGTCAACAGCTCTCATCTCACGGCAGAGGAACTGGCCAGTGTCACTGGAATGACCCCTAGTGGTGCCAGAGTGGTGGACGTTTATAGAACTGGAGCCAAATGTGTGCCTGGAGGAGCTGGAGACTCAAGGAAGCCTGGCGCTGCGTATCACCGGGTGGGGCTGCTCCGAGTGAAGCCAGGCCGGGGGGACAGGACTTGCTCCATGTCCTGCAGCGACAAGCTGGCACGGTGGAACGTCCTCGGATGCCAGGGGGCACTACTGATGCACTTCCTAGAAGAACCCATCTACCTTTCAGCTGTGGTCATTGGAAAGTGCCCGTGCAGCCAGGAGGCCATGCAGAGAGCGCTGTTTGGGAGGTGAGAGGCAGGGAGGGAGCCGTCCCGCCAGAAACAGTCCAGGAGTGTGTCCACGGGGCCCTGAACACAGATACAGACATAGAAGTTAGGCATTTGTCCTAAGGAAGTGATTAAGGAGGTGCTCAAACATTAGTTTTGTGTACACTAATTAAGAAAAAAAAGGAAACCACATAAATGGCCAGCTATAGAAGATTGTGATTGTTTTTTACAACTAATACTGATGAGAATTAAACATGGAAAAATACTTAAACATTTTTAAGTTTAATATTTATTGTTAAAAAAATGTTTAAAATGTAAAAAATGTTTAAACAGCAATTTAGAAGGTAAGATGAGTTCCTTTCAGTCTTAAAGTATATTATGTCCATATAAAAAAAAATTATAGAAAGATATATACCAAGGTATTAATATGATTACCTTTGAGTTACGGTATTATGGGTGATTTTTTTTCTTCTTTGTGATTACTCTCTTTTTTTTTTTTTTGCAGTGCTCATAGTTTGCTATTGTTATGTTTAAGAACACTCAAACATTAGTGTTAATTTTTTAAAAGAAAAAAGATGAAGGATGACCACCCAAGTGTGATCTCCCTAAAGAAGGGTGGCCACGCCTGATTACTGCCATAGTAACCGAGGGCCGAATACGGCCAGGGCCAGGGAAGCCTGGGCGCTCTTGTCAAATGCACTCTCCTAAAGCAAGCTCTTGGGAGCAGTGCCAGGATATGTCCCACTGATTCCACTCCCAGGTACATAACCAAGAGGAATGAGGACATACATCTACATAAAGGCCGTGCATGAGTGTTCAGAGCAACGTTAGTCATAATACCCTAAAACTGAAACAACACAAATGTCCATCAGCTGCTAAATGGATAAATAAAAGATGGTAGCTCCCTATAGTGGAATGTTAGTCAGCCACAAAAAGGGATGGAGTCTGGTACATGTCACAACAGGGATGAATCTTGAAAACCTTATGCCAAGTGGAAGAAGCCACACGTTGTATGATTTCATGGACTGAAATGTCCAAAGTAGGCAAATCCGGAGAAGGTAGATTCATGGGTGCCGGGGGCTGGAGAACGAGACAGGGAGTTACTGCTGTCACGGAGTGACTGGGGTTTCTCTCAGGGTGGCGGGTGTGTTCGATTTTGGTGCTTGCTGCACAAGTCTGTGACTGAAAGCACTGAATTGTAACTTAAAGTGGGTGAATTTTATGGCGTATAAACTTATACCAATAAAGATGCTCAGGGGGAAAAAAGGCAATCCTAGGCACGGTGCCCAAGGCATTTTCTCTGTTTTCCATGTTTCCTGATTCTGAGACTTTAAGTTGCTGTCTGCTCAGTTCTAGATCCACTTCATGTTGGCATCTACTTTGTGTGAAATAGTCAAGACAAGAAAAAACTGAAGTTTTATATTACAGAATAATTATGGTTTCTGGTATATTTGAATGACTCCTTAGGAAGCTGCTGCCAACAGGTTAATATTTCTGCTTAAGGTCTTCACATCTTTCAAACCCAATACAAGGAACAGAGTTTGGTGTTACTGAAGTCCCTGAGGAATGCTGATAAGTTCATGGCTTCCCTTCAGAGTGACGGGAGTGAATTTCCCTCATTCGTAAGGTTCAGAGGATCTCGGTTCTGTTCTGTCCCTACCTCCTGTACCATCCCCGTAAATAAATAAACACACGCACACACCTTCTAAAGTTTTTGCCTCCTGCTGAGACGTGGGTGGTGATGTGGTGCACAGCCCTAGATATTCTCTTTGTCGAGGAGTGAGCTAAATTTCATGCATTTTTCCCTCACATTTAGGTGTCAGAATGTCTCAGCTCTACCAGAAGGCTTTGGAGTTCAAGAAGTGAAAATACAGCAGTCAGATTTACTGTTTGAACAGAGCCGCTGTGCCCTGCAGACGAAAAAGGCTGACAGCCCAGGCCGACTTGTTCCTTGTGGTGCAGGTGAGGGATCCAGGTTCCACTTGCTCTGGAGTCACTTGTCCCCAGACTGTAGAGTGGCCTGGGGTAGCGGTTTCCCACACAAGTTGTCAATAACGTGGGCTCAGGAGACACCCACACTGGGTCAGGATCATGCTGTGTGACCGTGGACAACTTGTTCTCTCTTAGCCCCAGTTTCTTCATCTTCAGGTAAGAATTTGTCATTTATTTATCAGCGTTGTTATGAGGAATAAATGAGAAATTCTGTTTCATGCATTTGCTGAGTGTCCAGCATATAATAAATGTTCCAACTATTGTTAGCCCTGATGGTGATGACAATGAAGAATGATGAGCTACTTTATACTCTTGTACTCTGGAGGGCAGGCGTCAGAGTGACAGCCACTGTCTCTGACATCATATCCAACTCTCACGGGTCTGCAGTGGTAGGGAAACATTCTTACTAAAATACCTCTGACATTTACGGAAAACTGAATAGCTTTAACCCCAGAATGTTACCTTTTCACAGCCATCAGCTGGAGTGCAGTGCCTGAGCAGCCCCTGGATGTCACCGCCAATGGCTTTCCCCAGGGGACAACCAAGAAAGGAGTCGGACGCCCTCAGGCCAGGTACAGAGCCCTGGGGCAGGAGGTGGCCGTGTTCACACCTCACCCTCTCTGGTGCCAGAATGTTTCCATCCCCGCAGAAAGAGCCCCCACACCCACGAGCAGTCCCTGCCCTCCAGTTCTCTCGCCCTTGGCGCCGACAGGTCTGCTTTCTGTTTTTGTGGATTTACCTGTTCTAGACTTTTCTCTACATGGAATCATACAATATGTGGCTTCTTTCACTTAAGCATGAGGTTTTCAGGCTTCATCCGTGTTGTATCACGTGTCACTCCTTCATTCCATCATATGGATATACCAGTTTGGAGGGGGGCACTGGTGTTTTTAATTTTTATTTTTTGGCTGCACAACTTGTAAGATCTCTCAGTTCCCTGACCAGGGATCAAACCCTTGCCCCTGCAGTGGAAATGTAGAGTCCAAACAGCCAGATTGCCAGGGAATTCCCTGGGTATACCAGGTTTTTAATCTGGTCCATTGATGGTTATTTTACTTTGGGGGTATTCTGAATAATAATTCTCTGAACATTCAGAATGCAAGCTCTTGGGTGGACATTTGTTTTCAACTCTCTTGCCTATACTTGGAGTGGGATTGCTGGGTCATGGGATAACTTTATGTTTAACTTTTGAGGAACTGCCAGACTGTTTTACATAATAGCTGCAACATTTTAGACTTCCATCAGCAGCATATGAGAATTTCATTATCCCACATCCTTTCCAACACTTGTTTTTATCTGTCTTTCATTGTAACCATTGAATGTGAAGTTCTGTTTCATTGTGGATTTGATATGCATTTCTCTAATTACTAATGATGTTGAGCATCTTTTCCTGTATAGCCAATTGTGTATCTTCTTTAAAGAAATATCTATTCAGATCTTTCGCCCACTTTTAAAATCAGTTTGTCTTTTTATTGTTGATTTACAAGATTTCTTTGTATATTCTGGGTATGAACCCTTTGTCAGATATGTATTTCAAATGTTTTCTCTAATTCTGTGGATTGTCTTTCATTTTTTTAAAGTGTTCTTTAAAGGAGGAAAGTTTTCTGTTTTGAAGAAGTTCATCTTGTCTGTTTTTATATTTCATGGTGTGTGCTTTTAGTGTCATGTAAAAATCTGTAGTTGAATCCAAGGGCACGAATATTTACCTAGTATTTTCTTCTTGTAGTTTTAACTTTTATGTTTAGGACTTTGATCTATTTGATTTAGTTTTTATAAGGTATGAGGTAGGGATCCAGCTTTATTCTTTTGCATGTGGATGTCTTTATCCGAGCATCATTTGTTGGAAAGGCTATTCTTTCCCCTTGTTGTTGTTCAGTTGCTCAGCCGTGTCTGACCCTTTGTGACCCCATGGACTGCAGTACACCCAGCTTCCCTGTCCTTCACCATCTCCCGGAGCTTGCTGAGTCATGTCCATCGAGTCAGTGATGCCATCCAACCATCTCATCCCTTGTCTCCCCCTTCTCCTCCTGCCTTCTATCTTTCCCAGCATCAGGGTCGTTTCCAGTGAATCAGCTTTTCCCATCAGGTGGCCAAAGTATTGGCGCTTCAGCTTCAGTAGCAGTCCTTCCAATGAATATTCAGGGTTGATTTTTTTAGGATTGACTGGTTGGATCTCCTTGCAGTCCAGGGGACTCTCAGGAGTCGTCTGTAACACCACAGTTCGAAAGCATCAATTCTTCAACGTTCATCCTTCTTCTTTGCCCTGGAAGGTTTGGAAAGAACACTTTCTTTGGTCTTACCACAAGAGATTCTGGTTTAATAGAACAAGGCTGGAATCCAAGAATCATTTATGAAGCTTCACAGTGATTAGACTGGCAAGAAGAGTACCCTAAATACAAGACTTTGCATCCTCAAATTGACTTTTATTGAAATGTGGAGCATGTGATCTGCTAGACATAAGACTTGGATATCACGCCTATGTGTTTGGAGGTTCTGCCTTATTGGTTCTTTTTTGTTAAATGTTCACCTTGGCCACTCTGCTTCTCACCCGCAGTGAACCACAGAGGGTCCGCAGTAAGCCAGGGAGGGAGGGGCTGTGGGCCAGTCGCCTCTCCATCAGGGTCCCCGTCTGTCTGGACCGAGCTGCTGCTGAGTGGCTGTTGTCGGACTCCCAGTTTAAGAGTAGTTCTTTTCACCTTGAGTGGCGCTTCCATGTCTTTTTTATGCCCCCTTATAAAGAGTTGTGGGAGAAGGCAGTGGCAACTCACTCCAGTACTCTTGTCTGGGAAATCCTGTGGATGGAGGAGCCTGGTGGGCTGCAGTCCGTGGGGTCACTACCAGTTGGACACGACTGAGCAACTTCACTTTCACTTTTCACTTTCATGCACTGGAGAAGGAAATGGCAACCCACTCCAGTGTTCTTGCCTGGAGAATCCCAGAGACGGGGGAGCCTGGTGGGCTGCCGTCTATGGGGTCGCACAGAGTCGGACACGACTGAAGCGACTTAGCAGCATAGAGTTGTATTGTAATGAAAGTTCACAGGTGGATTTGTTTCTTTTCTTTTTGACATGCTTATTTGTCTCCCTCAACAGAAACAATAAAAACAACTTACGTTGTTTCAGACTTTTAAAAAAAAAGTTGTTTTTTTTTTCACAAGCACTAACAAGGATTCAGACTCCTATTCAGGAGATCTGGCCTGTCTCTTGGTGGCCTAAGCTATTGAATTGAGTAGTATTTACAAAACTGTTGTTGTTGTTTTGTTTTTAGGGATAGAGTTTTTTTGAAGTTTTTCTCAAGGACCTCCCAGCTTCAGGCCAAAGTCTGCATCTCTCAGGGGATCAGCCCTTAACCACAGACCAGGATGTGTGCGCAGAGCAGGTCAGGAGGCACGGGGACCACACTTCCTGCCGAGTTCTGCCTTTGCAGTCAGTGACAGCCTAGCAGCAGCCCATACTGGCCCCACCCACCTGCCTGTGGCTTTAGCTTGTGCTTTGCTAAGGTCTAAATGCTCTTCACTGTGAACCCACACCATCTTTTACCTTAAAAACTTGCCTTACCACTGCTTTCTGGCTCAAAATTCCCATCTTTTCTCCAGATTCCTAAAGTGCTGTTTTCCAGCTTGTCCCAATATGTCAGTGTTTTCTGTGTGATTGGGAGTGCCTGTGTTCCCACCCTGGCTCTGTCTCCAGTTACCCAGGTATCTTTGGACAAAGTCCATTAGCCCTCTGGGCCTCAGTTCAGTTCAGTTCAGTCGCTCAGTCTTGTCTGACCCTTTGTGACCCCATGGACTGCAGCACGCCAGGCTTCTCTGTCCTTTGCCAATTCCCGGAGCTTGCTCAAACTCGTATCCATTGAGTCGGTGATGCCATCCAACCATCTCATCCCCTGTTATCCCCTTCTCCTGCGTTCAGCATCAGGGTCTTTTCCAGTGAGTCAGTTCTTCTCATCAGGTGGCCAAAGTACTGGAGCTTCAGCTTCAGTATCAGTCCTTCCAATGAATATTCAGGACTAATTTCCTTTAGGATGGACTGGTTGGATCTCCTTGCAGTCCAAGGGGCTCTCAAGAGCCTTCTCCAACACCATAGTTCAGAAGCATCAATTCTTCAGCACTCAGCTTTCTTTATGGTCCAACTCAGACATCCATACATGACTACCAGAAAAACCATAGGTTTGACTAGACAGACCTTTGTCAGCAAAGTAATGTCTCAGTGTGTTTATATCTGTAAGACATGTGAGGGCCTCAATATGTTCTTATCTATAAGATGAGGATACTGGAGAAGGCAATCTGAGGCTTCTGTCGTATTATGGATGTCTCTCCATTTAGAAGGCTTACTGCATACAGGAGGAAGTTCATGGTGGAAAGAGCAGAAGCTCTGCAGTTCAAGAGACTGATGTTTAATTCCAGGTTCCTTTTTCCCCCAGTAATTGAGCAAATTACTTTACTTCTCTGAGCTCCAATTTCCCCAACAATAAAACAAGGGTAACTCTGAGTATCCATCACCCAGGAATGTGAAAATTAAGTGAGAAAGAGTGCCTCTAACATGGTACAGGGCCAGTAGATGTCTTTTAAGATAGATTTCCCCTTCAGTCATCAAATGAAGCTGCATGTTACATTTGAAAGAATCAGTTGCTTTAATTCTAGAGGCTGACCGCTGCAGGGGAGAGTGGGTTTTCTCACTTTTCATTCCCAAGTGCTCTCCTGGGACCATTCCCAAGTGCTCTCCACGATCTGGAATACGAACTCAAGACTGGGATGTTAGAAACACTTAAAATTCTAGTGCAACACTCCAAGGTAATATTTTTTATACCTTTTTAAAATTAATTTTTACTGGAGTTTTACAGTTTTACAGCTTTGTGTTCATTTCTGCTGTACAGCGAAGTGAATCAGTTACAGGTAGGCAGGCATTCCCTCTTCTTCAGACTCCTTCCCGTTGAGGTGGCCACAGAGCACTGAGGAGAGTCCCGCGCTGGACAGTCAGATCGCATCACTTCATACGTTTGCTGCTGTTTAGCTGCTCAGTCACGGCCATCTCGTCTGTGTCCCCATGGACTGTAGCCCACCAGCCTCCTCTGTCCTTGGGATTTCCCAGGCAAGAATACTGGAGTGGGCTGCCATTTCCTTCTCCATCTTTATACATAGTAGTGTATATATGTCAGTCCCAATATCCCAATTCATTCAACACCTCCCTTCCCTCCCTCGGTATACATAAGTTGTTTTCTCTATATCTGTGTCTTTATTTCTGGTTTGCAGATAAGCTCATCTGTACCATTCTTCTAGATTCCATATATAAGCAGTACTATACAATATTTGTTTTTCTCTTTCTGACTTAAATTCACTCTGTATGACAGTTTCTTAGTCTATCTATGTCTCTGCAGATAGCACCATTTCATTCCGTTTTATGGCTGAATAATACTCCATTATATATATATGTACCACATCTTTATCCATTCCTCTGTCAATGAACATTTAGATTGCTTCCGTATCCTGGCTGTTGTAAATAGTGCTGCAGTGAACATTGGGGTGTGTGTGTCTTTTTGAATTATGGTTTTCTCTGGCTATATGCCAAGGAGT